CTGCGCCTGGCCAATACATTTTTAAAAAGTTATTTTTATTTCAAGAGTCCTCTTATATCAGCAGACTTCCTACCAAAGGCTGAAAGCATCACTGCTCACTACTCAATGAACAGGTGAGAAGAAAGTGGGTAATGTAGCCAGCTTCCAGGCCCTGGGTTTTTCTTCCTCATGCATATGCTAAACATCTTTTGAAAATTATTATTATTATTTTTACCACTACTGTTCCAGCATAAACACCTTTTTTATTTTAAATTTTATTTATTTATTTATTTTTTAATGAGACAGGGTTTCACCATGTTGGTCAGGCTGGTCTTGAACTCCTGACTTCAGATGATTTGTCCGCCTCGGCCTCCCAAAGTGCTGGGATTACAGGCATGAGCCACCGCACCCAGTCTTTTAATTTTTTTTTTTAAATAGAGATGGGTTTCACCATCTTGGCCAGGCTGGTCTTGAACTCCTGACCTTGTGATTCACCCATCTTGGCCTCCAAAAGTGCTGGGATTACAGGCCTGAGCCACCATGCCAGCCTATGCTAAACATCTGGAAATCCTTTAACAAGCTGCTGGTCCTGGTCTTGATCTGCATATGAGAAAACGAAGCCAAAGAACATATGGGCAGAATATGACCTGTGCATTGTGTGTGCCCAGAAGGGAAGAAGCTGGCTGTTGGTGGTGGGGGGACAGTGTGTGTGTGGGGTATCCCATGGGAATTTTGTCTGGGTCCTGAAGGAGGACTTAAGTAATATATTCAAAAATAATAAGCCAGCTTGTTTGTTTAAAAAGTTCTTTAAATGCATTAATCAGCATTTACTACATAGCTCTTCCGTGAAATCCGCCTTTACAAGTGCGGAAGAGAAAATACATCATATCCGTGAACCATGGAAAGATGCTCAGTGGAGATGTGAGGGAAGAACATGGGAAGACAGGGCCATACGTGACAGTCCATGAGTCTCACAGCCCATGGATGACACAGGTACCATATAATACAGGTTGCCAGAGGTTTTTTTTTTTTTTTTTTTTGGAATGGAGAAATGGAATTTTGCTCTTGTTGCCCAGGCTGGAGTGCAATGGTGTGATCTTGGCTCTCTGCAACCTCTGCCTCCCAGGTTCAAGCAATTCTCCTGCCTCAGCCTCCCGAGTAGTTAGGATTATAGCGCACGCCACCACGCCCGGCTAATTTTTGTGTTTTTAGAAGAAATGAGGTTTCGCCACATTGAAAGGCTGGTCTCCAACTCCTGACCTCAAGTGATCCACCTACTTCAGCCTCCCAAAGTGCTGAGATTATAGGCATGAGCCAGGGCTCCTGGCCAAGTCAGAGCTGTTTGACTTGCAGTACTTAGACAGGGCTTTGGAAATTTTTTATTAGGTTTGAGGGGTCATGGGAGAGACTTCATGCAAATTCATGCAAAATCCATAAGTGATAAGAGAAGATAAGATATGTTTTGGAGACAGGGAAGGGGCCTGCTTGTGGATCACGTGGAGGTGATCACTGATGACTATTTGAAAATGGCTCCAGATCCTGCAGGCTTTTTCTCCTGTTATCTGCGTGACAGGCTGCAAGAGGAGCGGTCATTTGACGACATCTCCTCGTGAGACTTCCAGGCTCTCATTCAGTCAATAGCTGATGGATGGCCTGCTAACCTGGTCATATTTCACTGCCCTCTGAAGCCTGCTTCTCAAAGCCACTACTTCAGGACCAAACACCCAGTCATTTGTAGATGGCTTTGTGTGGGAAAAGAGACTTCAACGGGGACTTAGGAAATCATCTAATTAAGAGGCTTTCACTGGAAGGCCTGCTGCAAGCACTCCTGCATCTCAGTCCAGTGCCTGTTAGCTCACGGCAAAAACACATACTTGTCAGTCAAAGAAAGTTATTATGCATTACTTTCTCCACTTCCAGAGAAGAATGCAAACGTTCCCTATAAAAGCAAGGGCAGTAGGAGGAGGCGGGCCGGGGCTCTTAGTGCACTACCTGCTGCCCCTAAATCTAGAGTCCTGTTTAATACCGCTTGGCAGTTCTTATGTAGCATTGTTGAAGGACATTCAATTCACTGCCACCCCAAGGAAATGTGCCTTCCCCGTAGGGGAATGGACACTGGGTGAGATTGGCCTCTCTGAATTCCTGGCTTTGCTGCACATGCGACCATTAGATCCAGGCTGCTCACAGGAAAGGGACAAAACTCGGCAGAGGGCAATTCCTGGGAAGGGGATCTTCGTGGGGGAGGGCAGCAGGTGGCACTCTGGCAGCTTGGAAAGGGGGCTGGAGGGGGAGGGGGAGAGGCTGGGTTCTGGAGGGGAGGAGTGGAGCTCCTGAGGTGGACCAACCCTTTTGATACTTGGCAAAGGCCCTGGCCCTCCAGGCAGCAGCTGTTGTCTTTAGCCTTGATATGTCCTGGCCATGTTTCCCATCTCAAATATCTGATGTATCTCTTCATTATCCTAAGCAATAGCGCTCATCAGTTGCCCCATGGAAGTTAGCACTCAAGGCAGAGCTGTTTCTCCATAAGCCATTTCACTTGGGATGAATGTGTAACGCTCAGGAAACACCCACTGTTGTAAAGCAGCATGGCCAGAGTTCGGTTCTGTGGCACTGCCACGAGTGACGCAGAGTCAGCAGCAGGGGCTTCCCCCGCGGGAGGTCCTGTTTGCTGAGATTCATCCCTGGGGTCATTTGTGTGTGCCACAAAGAGGTGGCATCCCTTTCTCTTTCCTGACTCTACACCTGTACTCTCCTGTGGGCTTGAGGAGCCTGCAATGGGCAGAGGAACTTGCAAATCCCACTTGTTTGAAAGTGATGTCCCTCCTTGAAAATTGCATTCATCCATTTAAATGCAGACATTTTGACCTTACTATACGCTGACGATGGGATAACAAAGTTCCATTTAAAGCCACTTTTGCATTTGTTGAGGAATATTGTTATATGCACGTGTTAATTTGCTAAGGTTGGGCTGGGCGCGGTGGCTCACGCCTGTAATCCCAGCACTTTGGGAGGCCGAGGCGGGTGGATCACGAGGTCAAGAGATCGAGACCATCCTGGTCAACATGGTGAAACCCCGTCTCTACTAAAAATACAAAAAATTAGCTGGGCATAGGTGGTGCGTGCCTGTAATCCCAGCTACTCAGGAGGCTGAGGCAGGAGAATTGCCTGAATCCAGGAAGCGGAGGTTGCAGTGAGCCGAGATCGCGCCATTGCACTCCAGCCTGGGTAACAAGAGCGAAACTCTGTCTCAAAAACAAAAAAAACAAAAACATTGCTAAGGTTTTGGTAACAGAGTGCCACAAGTGGGGGGCTTAAAGAACAAACATTTATTCTCTCAGTTCTTGAGGCTGGAAGTCCAAAATCAAGGTGTAGGCAGAGTTCAGTCCTCCTGCATCCTCTCTCCTTGGCTTGCAGACAGCCTTCTTCTCCCTGTGTCTTCACAGGGTTGTCCCCACTGTGTGTGCCTATGTCCTCATTTCTTTCCTTTTTTCTATTTTTTTTTTGAGATGGAGTTTCGCTCTTGTTACCCAGACTGGAGTGCAATGGCGCGATCTCGGCTCACTGCAACCTCCACCTCCTGGGTTCAGGTAATTCTCCTGCCTCAGCCTCCTGAGTAGCTGGGATTACAGGCACCTGCCACCATGCCCAGCTAATTTTTTGTATTTTTAGTGGGGGTGGGGGTTCACCATATTGACCAGGATGGTCTCAATCTCTTGACCTCGTGATCCACCCACCTCAGCCTCCCAAAGTGCTGGGATTACAGGCGTGAGCCACCACACCCGGCCCTCTTTCTTTCTTCTTTCTTTCTTTCTTTCTTTCTTTCTTTCTTTCTTTCTTTCTTTCTTTCTTTCTTTCTTTCTTTCTTTCTTCTTTCTCTCTCTTTCTCTTTCCTTCCTTCCTTCCTTTCTTCTTTTTTTTTTTTGATGGAGTCTTGGTCTGTCATCAGGCTGGAGTGCAGTGGCGAGATCTTGGTTCGCTTGCATCCTCTGCCTCGTGGATACAAGTGACTCTCCTGCCTCAGCCTCCCAAGTAGCTGGGATTACAGGCATATGCCACCACGCTCACTAATTTTTGTATTTTTAATAGAGACAAGATTTCACCATGTTGGCCAGGATGGTCTCAATCTCCTGATTTTGTGATCCACCTGCCTTGGCCTCCCAAAGTGCTGGGATTACAGGTGTGAGCCACTGTGCCTGGCCTCATCTCCTTTTCTTATGGGACCCAGCCAGATTGGATTAGGGCCCACACACATCTGTATGACCTCATTTTAAATTGATTATCTCTGTAAAGGCCCTTCCTCCACATAGAGTCACCTTCTGAGCTTCTTGGGGTTAGCACTTCAACATATGACATTTGAGAGGCACCATGCAGCCTCTCAGTGTTTGCTCTGTTAGGACCCACACTCCCAAAGAATTGCTTTTAGACCTAGGTCCCAAATGATTTTTCCTTTAAAAAGCTGGTCTTCTTTTGTAACTTTCTTTATATTTTGACTGCAGCCGTGATCATTGTGGCTCAACCTACATTTCCAGCTCATATTTAGAATAGCACAGTGGTTCTCAAATTGGAACGTGCATTGGAGTTAGAGATAGGGCTTTGCTATATGACCCTGGCTGGTCTCAAACTCCAGGGCTCAAGAGATTCTCCGCCTCAGCCTTCCAAAATGTTGGGATTACAGGCATGAGCCATCGCACCTGGCCACAATTTGCGTTTCCGACAGGCTCCCAGGTGATGCGTACGCTGCTAGTCTGGGGACTAGAGTTCCAGAACTACTGAGAGCAGCTCATCCGTCTACTCCAGAGGCGGACCACCAGGGGGCGCTGTGAGAGCGCCTCCGGCCTGGGCGATACCGCTCCGGCTGCGTTTCAACCGCCTGGTCCTAGCTTGCGCCTGTCCTAGCTTGGCACTCTCCTCACCTCCCATTGACATCCTTCTCCTTGCAGGAGGGCTCCGACCTTAAATTGTTATTACCCAACCTCGGCGGTGACATTCAGATTTCAAAAGTAATAACATTTTAAATGATCATTCTTACCTGGCAGGAAAGATATGATCACGAAGGTGGTTTTCCCAAGGCGAGGCTTATCCATTACACTCCAGATGTGCTGACCCCTGCGATTTCCCCAAATGTGGGAAACTCGACTGCATAATTTATGGTAGTGGGGGACTGCGTTCGCGCTCTCCCTGGTATAATTTTTTTTTTTTTTTTTTTGAGACGGAGTTTCGCTCTTGTTACCCAGGCTGGAATGCAATGGCGCGATCTCGGCTCACCGCAACCTCCGCTTCCTGGGTTCAGGCAATTCTCCTGCCTCAGCCTCCCGAGTAGCTGGGATTACAGGCACGCGCCACCATGCCCAGCTAATTTTTTGTATTTTTAGTAGAGACGGGGTTTCACCATGTTGACCAGGACGGTCTCGATCTCTTTACCTCGTGATCCACCCGCCTCGGCCCCCTAAAGTGCTGGGATTACAGGCTTGAACCACCGCGCCCGGCCAAAAAAAATTTTTTAATGAAATAAACCTGTAATGAATAAAGCAGTCATGAACTATCCATGTCTTTATTGAATAAGAGAGCTTTTGGTACCAAAGTGATCCGTACATGCAAAAAAAAAAAAAAAAAAAAAAAAGAAAGAAAGAAAGAAAGAAAGAAAGAAAGAAAAAAGTCTAGGAATATAGAAAGGTCTTACTTTTGGATTCTTATTCCTACATTTTGTCTGTTAGAGTTAATAGAGGATCCATTTACTTGTGAAATTAATTTCCTAACCATCTGTCATCCTTCCTCCTAACTCTGTAATTTTTGCATGGTACAATGTGAGCTACTTCTGCCTAAAACTAAAATATGCGTGTAATTGACAGCAAGATAAGCATAAGGTTTTGCATGACTCAGCTAGGTTAATCAAAGACGATGGTTGCTATTTTGGGAGAAGGGAAGTTAATTAAATACATAACTAATTACCTATATATTAGAGAAAACTAATATAATTAAACTGCAGTTTTGAGTGGTATGAGTCAGAATGATGATTAAAAATGACAGTCATGAAAAAATACAATATTTATTAACTATGGGGGGACTGACAAATGAAGTCTTCAAAAAGTTTGGGATGGGCTTGGTTATGTGTAATCCTCGTGAAATTTTTGTTCAAGTATTTTAAATGTTCAGTGAAAGCAATATAACTACATTACAGACTTTATTTGTGATTTCTAGCAATCTTCCAAGTGAGGTGGAGAAATTAGTGATTAAGAATGCACCTCTGTGGAGGAAAAAAATTCTATTAGAGGAAATAAAAGGCAGAGGGAGGAATGTCATATTATTTTGGTATAAGTAGATTTCCAAATACTAAATTAGCAAAGAATGTTTATCAGAAACTTTTTTTCTGTATGTTTCATCACACTTTAAATTAGCAAAGAATATCACCTTTTGTCAACATCAAGATGAGGGGGGATAAATTGCCTGTTGCAAGGAAGAAGGAAAATAACAGGTAAGGAAGGTGCTCACTGTAAGGACAATTCTTGGAAGAAGCAAGTGGTAGCTCACAGAGGGTCGTGGTGGTGAGAAGACAGTTTTCTTGTCCTCCACCCCAGGGCTCAACCCTCAGATTTGTGCTATGTCTGGTCTCTGGTCAAGGGCAGAGAAGAACTGAAGAATAAAACAGGAAAGTCTGTTGAGGGGGCAACTGAGATCCTCAATCATAGGTTACTGTAAGGTGAAAATTGCCTGCTCTTTCTTTTTTTTCTTTTCCTTCGAGATGGAGTTTTGCTCTGTCTCTCAGGCTGGAGTGCATTGGTGCCATCTTGGCGCACTGCAACCTCTGCCTCCTGGCTTCAAGCAATTCACCTGCCTCAGCCTCCTGATTAACTGGGATTACAGGCGCCAGCCACCATGCCTGGCTAATTTTTGTATTTTTAGTAGAGATGGAGTTTTACCATGTTGACCAGGCTGGTCTCGAACTCCTGACCTCATGATTCACCCACCTTGGCCTCCCAAAGTTCTGGAATCACAGGGTGAGCCATTGTGCCTAGCTTGCCTGCTCTTTCTTTCTTTCTTTCTTTTTCTTTTTTCTTTTTTCTTTTTTCTTTTTTTTTGAGATGGAGCTCTCACTCCCATTCACACAGGCTGGAGTACAGTGGTGCGATCTCTGCTCACTGCAACCTCTACCTCCCATGTTCAAGCTCTTCTCCTTCTTCAGTCTCCCAAGTAGCTGGCATTACAGGCATGCACCACCATGCCTGGCTAATTTTTGTATTTTTAGTAGAGATGGCGTTTCACCATGTTGGCCAGGCTGGTCTCAAACTCCTGACCTCAGGTGATCCTCCCACCTCGGCCTCCCAAAGTGCTGGAATTACAAGTCTGAGCCACTGCGCCTGGTCTGCCTGCTCTTTCAAATGGAATCCTACAGTTGTCACATCTAGGGTACGTGTGCCACTGTCTTCATTTAAGGGAAAACTGGCATTCACATGGTGTCTCAGTTTGCTTGGGCTATTGTAACAAAGTAGCAGATCCTAGAATAAAGTCATTTTGTTTTTACTTTTTTTATTGTTCTGGCACAGTGTCTTACTCTGTTGCCCAGACTGAAGTGCAGTAGCTCAATCATGGCTCACTGCAGCCTTGACCTCCCAGGCTCCAGTGATCCTCCTCCATCTCAGCCTCCCACATAGCTGGGAAAACAGGCCTGTGCCACCATTCCTGGCTAATTTTTTTAATATTTTTTTTTTTTGTAGAGACTGGAGTCTTCTTATGTTGCCCAGTCTGGTCTCAAACTCCTGGGCTCAAGCGATCCTACTGCCTCAGCCTCCCAAAGTGCTAGGATTACATCCATGAGCCACCACCCCGGCCTCAACATGGCTCTGTTATAAGGCTGATGCGAAAAGAATGATCCTCATCTGGGGCCACTACCTGTGTTAGTTGGAGTCTGTCTGCATGTTCTCTCCACGTCTGTGTGGGTATTTTTCTGGGTGCTCCTGTTTCCTCCTCAGTCCCAAGGTCATGTCCGTTAGGTGAACTGGTGTGTCTACACAGTCCCAGTGTGAGTGATTATGAGCGTGTGTGGGAGGCGCCCTGCAAAGGGAGAAGTGCGCTGTAGGAACTTAACTATTGTTTATATCAATTAACCTATTGATTAGAAAATTGATTTTGTTATATGTCATTTCACTTAAAGTCAGTTTCCAAGAACTTATTGACAATGTTAAGTGAGGGCTTTCTGTATCACACACTGGGCAGCTTAAACAATAGAAATTTGTTTTCCCACAACTCTGGAGGCTGGAAGTCTGAGATCAAGGTGTCTGCAGTGGCGTTCTCTCCTGAGTCCTCTCTCCTTAGCTTTGCAGGTGGGCATCTTGCCGTGTGTCTCATCTCCTATTCTGTTTTTTTTTTTTTTTTTTTTTTTTTTTTTTTTAGGGAAAAAGAGAAAAAGAAGGGGAAAAAAAGAAAAAGAGGAAAAAAGGAATATTACTTCATTCCTAAAATGGGTTTCAATAATGGCCGATCAATATTTTGAGTGTTTAAAGTGGTTAATGCATATTTTATGTGTTTAAAATGGAGACCTCTATTGTGTTTATTTGTTCTGGCTCTGAGTTCAAATCCTGGATATCGTTATCAATTTGTTGTCTCGTTGAATCTAAATCTCACTATGTGTCTTATGTATCTGGGTGTTAAGATCTCTTATTGTTACATTAATCCTTTTACCCTTGTATCCTTATAGCTTTGAAATCTATTTTGTCAAATGTGAAAATTGCAACTCCTGCTTTTTATTTATTTATTTTTGCTCTCCATTTGGTTGATACGTTTTTTTTTTTTTCCAACCCTTTATTTTGAGTCTATGTATATCTTTGGATATACCGTTGGATTTTGTCTGTATCTTTTGATTGGGAGATTTGGTTGATTTAACTTTAGGGTTACTGCCATTTGATATTAACTGGCTATTTTGTCCTTTTGTTGATAAAAATTCTTCTTTATGTTAATGCTCTTTACTTTTTGGTGTATTTTTAGAAAGGATCATACTGGTTGTTCCTTTCTGTGTATAATGCTTCTTTTAGAAGTTCTTGTAAAGCAGGCCTGGTGGTAATAAAATCTCTGAGTACTTGCTTGTTTCTAAAAGATTTTATTTTTCCTTCAAATGTAAAGCTTAAATTGGCAGGATATGAAATTCTGGGCTGAAAGTTTTGTTCTTTAAGTATATTGAATATTGGCCCCCACTCTCTTCTAGCTTGTAGGGTTTCCGTTGAGAGATCTGCTGTAAGCCTAATAGGCTTACCTTTATGGGTAACTTGATCTTTCTCTCTGGCTGCCCTTAATATTTTCTCCTTCGTTTCGATCTTGGTGAATCTAACGATTATGTGCCTTGGGGTTGGTCTTCTTGAGGAATATCTTTGTGGTGTTCTCTGTATTGCCTGGGGTTGAATAGTGTCCTGCTTTGCTAAATTAGGAAAATTTTCCTGGATAATGTCCTGGAGAGTATTTTCCAGCTTGACTTCATTCTCTCCGTCACATTCAGGTACACCAATCAAGCGTATATTAGGTCTTTTCACATAGTCCCATATTGCTTGGAGACTTTGCTCATTCCTTTTTATCCTTTTTTCTCTATTCTTGTCTTGTCGTTTTGTTTCATTAAGTTGGTCTTCGACCTCTAATACCCTTTCTTCTGCTTGATCCATTCGGCTGTTTAAGCTTGTACATATTTCACTCAGTTCTCGTGTTGTATTTTTCAACTCCATAAGTTCATTTGTATTCCTCTCTATATTGTCTATTCTTTTCAACATTTCATCGAACCTTTTTTCCAAGTTCTTAGTTTCTTTACATTGGGTTAGAACAAGTTCCTTTAACTCCCAGAAGTTTCTTATCATCCACCTTTTAAAGCCTACTTCAGATAATGGAACACAGTCCTTTTCCATCAGGGCTTGTTCCGTTACTGATGAGTCCTTTTCCATCAGGGCTTGTTCGGTTGCTGATGAGTCCTTTTCCATCAGGGCTTGTTCCGTTGCTGATGGGTTCTGATTTTGAGTATATTCGGCCTTCTTAGGCTGTTTTTTTCCCTTCATTATAGATGAACCGCGCTGGTGACCCGTGGGGCTCCTCCACTGGGAATCGGCTAATCGGTGAGTGACGAAAATTCGTCTAAAGATGTGGCGTCGTCTCGTTCTCTGAGCTTTCACTGGGAGCTACAATCCTGAGCTGTTAGTGGTCGGCCATCTT